ATGATTGACTCCCTGAATCCCTGGTCTACCTTAAATTCAAGTGTTTGCACTTATTCGATCCATGTACATATTACAATCAACACGGGTTTGTCCCGGCCCTCCAAACAGTCTTTTGCAATGTTACCAGGATGCGCATGAAATGTCTGAATAACCTGTTTTTCAATTTCCAACAATGGAATAATGCGATCAGCATATTTACATTGTATAACAGCAACTAAAGCTTTGAATGTGGGTTAAAGCACGGACCTTGGTTAAAGGTTACCAAATCGAATAAAAGCTAACCCCTCTCCTCGCCATATGCTGATAAACTATACAACTAACGTAGTGGGGCGTGAAGACAAATGACACCAACCTAAAAATATGATTGTTCTTTTGTTATATAAGTTGGTTAGTTGCACGCTATGCCGTCCACGGTTCAGTTAAGCTTACCATCAGTGAGGGAATAAGGAGGGAAATACAATTTTGATTGACTTGCTTTCTTGTAACAAACAATTCACTGCATCAATAGTTTTGCAGACCTAAACAACATTTGCTTTTCTTTTTCAGCTTTGGGAGTAAATAGTTCCAGACCTTGGGCGAGCAAACAATGTACACAGTTATATTGTTCAGTTGTTTTTTTACATGTCCCTGCAAAAGTTTCATGCTCTAGATCTCAGAGCGGACAAATTTGCTGGAAAAAATGTTAATGCAGTAAAACTTTACAAACTACCAGTGCCATTTTAGTACCAGGAGGTCTTACTATAATGATGTACAACTCAGACTCAGAACCTAAGAATCAAAGAAATGTGTTCAATGTTGTTTTCACAGAATTCAACCCATAGATAAACAATGTAATAATAGAAATTTCACATTTACAAAGTTAAGGAAGTTTGAAAGGAGCTCATACAAAGTCTTTTTATACTGACATGATTGATATCAATACATGCACATGTTTTAATGGCATCTACCTTACTTCCTTCACATATACCACGCACATCACCACTGTCCCATATCATTTAATTCTTTGCTATGGTGATGATTTTGAGCATCTGTCTCATAAATAACTACATATATCACAGATTTTTTTTCCACCATGCTGTGTTTTGTTAAGCATGAGCTAAAATAACAGAAAGGGTCAGTCACATGTGAACATGCCCCTCAAAAAATCTTTAATGTAGAAAAATATGACAGATGGTTAACGTTTTACATCATCACTTTTCATGTACATGTACATGTACCGGAACAGAAATGTATTACCAGTTTAACATGGACAAAATACATTAAGATAAATTCAGTATGGTTTTCTCATATCGGTGGCAAGAGAATGGAGGCGGAACAGATGATTATTATATCAGCACAAACAGACACACCTCAATCTTAACATATGAACTCCACATCTGTAATGTAAGATTAGAGATACGCCAAGTGTATTCTATTCCTACAACTAACAATGATAATGACTTTAACACATGTGTCACGGGACGTTCTGTATGCATGCTAACTAGTTCATAAATAGCACAAACACTTAGAAGTTCATCGATGAGCATATGCTGCAATGGCAATCCACTTCATATTAAAAAAAAAACACTCAGCACTGACTTGAATGCTATAACATGCTTGCATAATCATTAATAGCAGCAAATATTCAGCAGCGAGAAACGATTAGGGACAGAAATGGCATTAATATAGGAGAAAAATTACAATTTTATACTTTGAAGTTTGAAAATCAGAATGGGACAAATGGCATTGTAAGAGGAACAGATGCCAGACACATGGATTTCTACTTCTATCTCCACCTTCAAAAGACCTGATAACAGATTTATTCTGACATTTAAATGCTCCCTGGAACTGGTGGTTCGATGATAACAAGTTGCGGTTATGTAGATTTAATCTCATCTGAAGTAGTTAAAGCACTAGGCAAATATTTGAACAAAGTTAACAATTATAGAATCGTGCGACTCTAAGATGAACTCATAAGAGAGTTCATACACCTTGCAGTATTAACCACAATTTGATAATGAAAAAATCGTTATCACTCTGTGAATTACATCAGACGTTTGTTCCCTTACTTATTTTTCGCCTGTTTTTCCTTCAAGTATGAATAGCAAGTACATTGTACAATTAAAGATTTGATAACAATACACTTGTTAATGTTATCTTTGTAAAGAACCACAAAAGATGCTTTTAATGTCCTATTTGCATATATATATTTTCCAAAGTCATATTATGCAGCGAAAGAACCATCACTTGACAAAACACTATACCAGTACAAGTATCTTTGGATTTTCAGAATTAAAAAAAAGAAGTCCAGTCAGCAGCTTTCTGCAGCATTACAAGCACTCACAAATACTGGATCTTTGTCGAAACCAGTCAGAATATTCAATTTTGTAATTCTATGCCTCCCTGGTGTACAGAAAGAGGAGGAATTTTAGCCCAACTGTGAGCCTTTTCAATGATATCTCTGATGAATGTTATTTTGACCTATGGGGTCAAAAGAATCACATGCATGGAAACCTTATACATGAATTCATACATTAAAGGAATCACACGCATGAAAACCTATACTTGAATTCAAACATTAAAGGAATCAGACGCATGGAAACTATATACATGAATTCATACATTAAAGGAATCACGTGCATGGAACCTTATACATGAATTCATACATTAAAGGGCTGTGCTGTTTGTAATGCATCATACATGTGTAGGAAAATGCTTGCCTGAAACTAAATTTCAAAGGCGGCAAAGAAATACTGCAACTTCTGTAAGAGCATATTATATTAGCATTTGTACATGTACATTTATGCTGCACGCTTGTGGGAAAATTTCTGTGTGAATCATCAAAACTAATCTGGCATTTTTGCAAGATGGCAGTAATTCCAGAGAATGCATTAAAGTTAGCATGGACCTAAATATGAGTGGGTGGATACTGGATAGAGGGAATGAAATTTTGCAAGCGAGCCTTGAACCTGTGACCCATCAATCGACCCACTGGGTCTCATCATATCATCTCCTGCAATCATTCCTGAACTAGACACTTGGGAGGAAATCTGTCACTTGCCAACGGGGCAAAATTTAAAGGCATGTATATCACAGCTGCAGTAGGCATACAAATCTAATCATCTACAATATACATGTAGCTTTTAATAGTGAATATACGCATGGACCTATAATCTCAATCCGCTGGCTTTGGGGGCAATAGATCTTCCATACATCCTAATGTATAGACGTACTTGACGTGATTTTTTATAATACCAGTATAAATAAATTGAATTGAATTGAAATTGATGATCAACCAACAACAAGGCATAGGCATGCATGTACAATGTACAGGTACCTGTAGAAGTGCACAATCTAAAAAATGCATTTTTGAGGTTTAATTGCCAATTAACTCTGGAAGTGGAAAGTTTTGAAAAGAGCTCTAGACTGGTATTGGTAAAAGGAAATGGAAAAGGACATAACATTGCAATGTGGAAATTCCACTTTTAGCGAAGAAAAAGAGGGAACAAAGTGAACAAAGGGTAATCCACAATGTGAAATACAGGCCAATTCCCCCTTTTCCCCATTAAAGCAAAATTACATTTTACTATAACTTGGGAAACAAAACAGCCATAAATCTAAGCTATCGTGAATTTTATGACTGAACAAACAAAACCTGGTATAATTTTCAGGACCAAAGCTTATTTTGATCACTTTCTCTTCAAGGACTTTACAATTAGTCATGATATCTTTTTAAATCTCTTTCTTCCACTCCTACTTTGCTTGATATCAAGGTACCTGCCCTATTGAGACTCCTATCGTAATACTACGACAATGAGCCAGGTTCAGCTTTTTTTTTAGGGTCACTCGTCTAAAGACTAATATAATAGCATGAATCTCTAGTACTGTAGGTTTGTAAGAAGCTGACAAAACAGCTTACAAAACAGTCTAGGTAACACAATGCTTAGTAGGAACTGCATGCATACATGGTACGACTGTCTGACCTTTAACCCCAGCTCTAACATGTGCATATAACAGGTGAACCTATTTATTATAATAAACTGTGGAAATGAACTTAAGAGTTGTAATTAAGTTGAGAAAATGTACAGGAGCCAGAGGCCTATATTTCAAAATTAGACCCATTGGCTATTTACTTTCTGAACAATTTAATGTTTTCTCTTGACAACTAAAAACTTGCCAGACATAGCAACAACCAATGCATGCAAAGTGGATTTCACCTGCACCATACATCATAATTAACAGGTGAACTCATTAGTTGGCAACCATGAGTTCTAATGAGAAACATGTATAAACTGATTTACATGTACAATAAAGTACCAGGTCTACACATGTGGATGTATTATAAAAGCCTGGAGAAAAGTAAGGAAAATACAAGGGCAGACTAGCATGCTTAGAAAGCATGGTTACTGACCTCTTGGGCTGAGGTCAAGGAGGTCAACCAGGGCAGGGAAGCCTGTAATAAAGCTCCCTGGAGTTTACAGTCTCCTGTTCAAATAACCGGAAATGGTCTGGAGCCTTTGTTCACCTGCTACAATACTGTAGGTCCATGCCCTGTATCTATGGAGTATGGACACGTGTTCAATAGTTGTACTGTAGCATGTTTGGATGAATTAGTTTTGATAAGTCCACAATCTAGGATTAGACATGTACACTCACACTGCTTTGAATAATCACCCAATTCATGATAGATACAAATGTAATGTACATCTTAATGTTATGTGTAATCTATATCTACTACAAATATTATTTCCAGGGCACACATGTATATTCACCAATCCAGGCAACAAATTGTTGTATTTCAGTAATTTCACAGCAATGCATATAGCATTTTGAGCCTTGGTATCTCAAGTGTTATTGCTTTTTTACACCGAGCAACAAAATTACTCCCCCCCCCCCCCAAAAAAAAAAAACAGAAAAATTATGAACTACAAACACATTCAACCACTAAAAAACCAAATGCGGTAGGCAATTTTTACTCAAAAGCTATAGGAAAAGTTTAAAACTTTTAAACATGCTTGGGAACAAAGTGTGAGAGAATTTAAATATCCATTACACAAGTAATAACCTACATCATTCAGTTAGTGTGTAGGAGGTCAGCTACCAGATTGAGAATTTGATCTGTTAGGGGGAAGCAGTCAGCAGGAAACCTTCACGCCCACAGCCGCCCGGGCCAGGCCGGGATTGTATATTTTTAGCAGTCATTCCTTTTGTTCATGAATCATACACGAAACTCCAGTGCACATTGTATTGACAACATTTGTGAGCTTTACGAGCCTTCTTCTTTCTTACAATAGGGATTCAGGGAGAATGCAAACATTGCACTCAAACTCTGTCACCATTATCCCCCATAATATGAAATAAAATGATTCATACACCATGTAGTTATAAAAGATCAGTAAAATAAACATCCCTTTACAAACAGAGTAATGACTCATCTCGTTCATGAAACTTCTAAGTTCAAGGTAACCGTATGACTACGTCATGAATTTGACCTGTGAAATTCGACCGACATGTTGTCTGCGACCCTGCCTACAACATAAGCCCGGAAGTAAGCGTTCTTTACCCTGTTGAACCCCTCAACTCGAAAAGTTTAGAAGTGGAAGCAGGGTGCCTCATCGAATTAGTCCTACAGAAGGCCAGTGGATACTGAAGGAAACGTGAGAATGATTCATAGCACTTCATAGTTATAGGGGAATGCTCCCCTTACCCAAAGCCAATGTCAAAATGATGTTTGTGTCCGCTAGCTGACAGCCAGCTGGGGGCTATGTGCCAAGTATGCAGAGATATATTTTGTTTCAGAGGTTAAGGAGGGGTGGGGGAACAGCATAAAAATACAAGAACAGTCAGCATCATGTTATGGATGTGACACATAAATTACATGTAGTATAGCACAACTACAGGGATGTACCCACTGCATAAATCAACTTTATCACACTGGTGTGATGAAATAGCTGGCATTTGGTAAACATTCTTACAAGGTGAATAAAGTTCATCCTGCCAATCATTTACACTTTTTTTTTATAGAGATTTAAAAAGTTTACCACAAAACTGTTTTACCCTGTGACATAGAGCAGGATAGAGTTTTAGACACAGATTTATTGCACAATATAAAGCACATATGTTGCTTGCCAATGATTTTTGTAATAAGTTACGTGTACAAATTTCTATGTGCATGAAAAAGTTTTGTAGCTGCTTTCATATTTGGAAGACTTTCTTTATGATACAACCCAATGCTTTTGTACATTTGTACATGCACACTTTACAACTAACCATAAACATTTTTGGAAGAAAAACAAGAGAGTCAATATATTTCAATACATGTAGGCCTACATTATTTTCACTTCCAAAATATATGATATCATCTCTTTGAAGTCATTCTTGAAGTCGATACCTAGAAAATATTCAAACCATTTTGTTCTTCCTATAATATGTCAATTCTATTTCATCAATATGTAGCCATTGAAATTTTCTGCAATCAAGTTGTATTTAATTGTAGAATTGACGTCCTCACTCTCTAGTAGCAGACTAGTACACAACAAATTTGAAGACTGAAGAGGTATGTACCATCTTTCATTCATTCCCAAAGCTCCAGGTCTTTGGATTTCTGGCAGGTGCTCTCGCTCTCATCAGCATACCTCAGGCAAACATACTGCTGCTCTGGAGTCAGGTCATGGACCACAAAGAAATAGAGGTAGTTGCACATGGTCCACTTGGTACTGAAGAGAGCAAAGCGAGGCGTGTCCCTAAGACCGACTCCCAAGTCCTCCGCAAGGACCCCCATGTAGGCATCCTCGACCGGGAATGGGTGATGGAACAACGTCCGTCTGGCGACCCGTTGGACCACATCGGAGGAGAGTAGGTACCCTATTCCGCTGGCATACGGTGGGTAAGAATCTCTTGGGTAGTCCTTCCAGGAAACGTACCACTTGCTGTCAGGATCTCGCACCACCTCCTGACTCCTCATCTTGTGGCCGACGTACAAGTTTGTCATTTGATGATTATACCTCATGAGAAACTCCACCAGAATTTTAGTGTTGACAAAGCAATCGTCATCTGTCTTCAGAACAAACTGGGATCGGCAAGACTCGGCTGCCCACGTCATCCCATGCTGGACTTTATAAGTGAGGTTCCGATAACTATCAACATAATCTCCTATCAGGATATCCTTGTGCTTTTCACTTTCTGCTTCAATCTGTTCATTCAACATAGGAGAGGTTTTGCCTATTAAAAACACAGTCTTGAAATGTGTTGTATTCAAGACTTTAGGGTCTCTGTATCGTGCCCATGTATTTCTTATGGCTGTTCTCCTTTTGATGTTTTCAGGTGCTGATGTGACGATTAACAGGAGAAGAGGATTAACCGAACAATCTGGGCCTGGGCTAAACACATCCACATATTGTTTCACATCCCATTCGGGTTTCATAAACTGCTCAGCTGCATCGGTGCCTTGTTCCCACTGAAGTTTGTGTCGACCAATCACCGCCACTCTATCATCCAATGTTGGTAACGTTCTTGAGATCCCATGACCGTTGTCGAGGTCGATGCTCATCCGGAACCGGTCGTCCTGGAAGATTTCAGTGTCTATGACGGCAAGTAGGAGCAGGAGGGATATGCTAAAGCCGGTAGCGACCAAAACCGAAGTTGTCCCAAGAAGCTTCATGAATAATATTCTCAGGATTCGCAAGAGAATTGGTGACATGTTCAAATGGATAGGCATTTTGTCCAAATCTTGTGAATGGCAAGTCACTCACTGTTGTTCCATTCTTTCATTAAAGAATCATATTGAGAAGCGATTTGATCCACATGGATAATTAAATAATAATATTGTTCCAACAAACAGCACTGAGTCTGAGAACTCTAGATCCAATCATTTAGTTCAAAAAAGTTTTCAACAAATTCAGTCAGAGTTGCTGGGCATCAGCTTGAAAACGGCTCCATGTAACGTGGCAGTAAAAATGTACTAATGCTGGACTCAGCATTCAGGGAATCAATCCTCTGCGATTTACCCAGTGCTATCATTCCCCAGTTCGCCGGGCTCACTCACTATGCCTGGCCTTGTCCCCTGTACGAAGCACCATCAGGCGATTGGCTGGAACTGCCAGTGCATCTATGCATAGATCTACCACTCACTAGGCCTACACTTTGTTTACTTTTTGACCAGCAAAATAAGCACGATATCTGACTCCGAGTCTGAGACGGAGAATGCGAACTGGTTGTCGGCTGGGAAACAGGGAATTTCGTTCTCTCCTTATCCCTTTTCGCTACGCAAAAAAATCTCTTTACAGATCACGAGGAGAATAGTCCGTCACGTTCTAAAGGAAAAACAAAACATATCAATTCGCATGCGAAGCTTCTATAATATGAATGAGTGAAAGCATTATAGTTGGCGAGGAGAATGCGGTCGGTAGTATTCATGATGTAAATTCGACACAACTTCGCTTTCTTCCCTGATTGGCCATGCGGAGAGGCTTGGCAGGGGACAATGTTGGGTCGACAAACTTTCCCGCAAAAATTTGCTGCTAGTCTAAGTCGTAAACCCTAGTGCAACGTGGTCGTAAGATTTATACCATTCTTTCTACGATTTCTAAGCCTTTCTTGAAATAAAGGAAAAAATGGTGACAATATGTAAAAAAAGAACGCAATTATTCGATTGTCAAGAAAGATATTTTTCTAAAAAAACTCCAATAAAACACCCTATCTGTAATATGATTATGCTTTCAGCATATTAATCAACGTAAAACATAATAACCAACGTTAAATCTAAGAAAAAGGGGATGCAATGGTATATTTTAACATCATGCTTTCAATGGGTATAATCTGAACGACATTCTTGTCCTAAAATATTGCTAATTTATGCTGTATCAGCGGGTGCCAATATTACGATAATCGAAAGGCTGGACGTTTCAAGGATACCATACTCCAAGAGCGAGTATCCAAGGTGAACAAACTTTTCATTACGTAGCTTACAAAAGCAGACCATGATTTATTTGTTGCAAATTTATTTGAAGAATAACGGGAAAGAAAACAAACAAGTACCTTTGATGGATATCATACTTAATATTTTCTTTCGATTTGGAATAAACCAATACAATTCAAGAAATAAATTCTAATTAATGAATACTAAATCAGTGAGTGATTTTGTGATTTATGAAAATACAGTTTTGGAATTAGACTATCAAGAAACCGTACGCTAAGGATGTGAAAGTTTGTTGACTCCGATCCTCACATAAATTATGACGCTCTCTAATTCCCCATGTATGATGTATGGGGCAGTGTTTCCGGACAATTAAAGCCACCGCTTTTGCCTTTGGTTTGAACTAAATGGATGCACCAAATAGCACTAACCATCAGAAATATTCATTCTTATTATATTGACTATCATAATTCTTCAAAGCCTTATGGAACATTGCGTGTTACCTTTTTTTAATTACCGTTATAAATCAACTGTTCGGACACATGCACACCGATAAAAACAATCATTCCTCTTAACCTGCATCATTGTCGTCTAGGCAAAAAAAAAAAAAAAAAAAATATATATATATCTATTTATTGTACTTTCATAAAAGAAACGGTGACTATGTTCCATAGAAAGATTGGCATGTAGGCTTTGCATATGTTTATAGTCTATTTGCCGACAAGATTAATGGCTACTGAATTAAAAATGCATACATCAGCCGCTGTGAAACATTAAACCGGGCGTTTTACCAGAACATCTGTCAGATTCTCATTGAGACTAGATTTTCAGCTCAAGTATAAATTTGAAACGCTTGTAAGCTGACACCATTCAATTCATTATTCCTGTCGGTGTGTATAGTCCTGCATACATCTCATATATTTTGATAATTATGTAAACTTCTGAATGTGTTTCATAGATTTTTAAAACCCTAAAAATCCTCTAGATCTCACTCCCCCTATGACATCATCTGTCAGTCATCAAATGAGCTAACTTGAGAAAGTGGTATTAACTGGTATGCAAGTTTGAAGAAATAACCGGGTTCGAAACCAAGACGAGTGTTTGGTAAGGAATTAATCCTCATTACCAGGTCCCTCGGAGAGCACCTAAAGCCATCGACCATCTGGCTGCTTACTACAAGCATTTATGCTTTCTTAGCAGCCAGGTAAAATAACCACCACCACCATATCTCAGAATTCCATTTAAAAATCCATGAAACACATTCAGAAGTTTACATATCAACATATGAAATGTATGCAGGACTACACACCAACAGGAAAAAAACTTGCATTTTATTTGAACGGCCTATTGCTTTATTAGTATGTGTAACAGCAAGATAAAAGAACAAAATAATCTGAGAGTAATGATCATACAAGACCATCAATTCTTGAGGGAGTAAGTCTATATTTTTGTCTGAAAAATTGCTCGTTTTATTCAGATTTCATTTTCTTTTTAAATTAGTGCTACTGTGCAATGTTCAAATAAAGTACAATATGAGATTGAAATTCAAGGAAATCAGCGATCGCTTCATGAGATAACAATCTAGGTCTGAAGCACAGAGACTACGCATATAATGGCTCTGGCTCGAGGTCGACAAACTTTACACTGAATGTATGTGAGCTTGTGTACGTGTACGTGGATGAGGATCGGAGTAGTCACAAGAAAACAATGTATGGTCTGAAGCACAGAGACTACGCGTATAATGGCTCTGGCTCGAGGTCGACAAACTTTACACTGAATGTATGTGAGCTTGTGTACGTACGTGGATGAGGATCGGAGTAGTCACAAGAAAACAATGTGGGTCTGAAGCAAAGAGACTACGCGTGTTTCCTTCACCGTGGATGTGGATAGAGGTCGACAAACTTTCTCGTCTTTACGGAAGCAGACATCGGACAGTGCGTAAGTAAACAACGATGACGTCAGCACAGAGAGTATACATGTATATGGTTAGGCTATAACGTGTACGGCATTGTATGATGCACGCGTCAGTCCTATATATATATTTATATATCCGATGTAGTATTTTAGGCACATAAACATTCCTAGTGAATAGATTGAGAAAACAAAAGGAGCTGGATAAGAATTAAGACAGGATTCTGTTAGGCAAAAGTTGTTGCAAAATGTCAAATTGAGAGGCTTTTCTTCTTCAACAGTTCGAGTTCTATACTTCTTCATCTCCTTCTCCTTAATTCTTTCATTCTTTTTCTTCTCCCCTCCTTTATCATCTTCTTTTACCCTTTTAGGTCAAAGCCTACAGAATAATTCTGGACAAAACATAACATTACAAGATACAAAGGACATATTTGTCAATGTTCAATTGTATTTTGGGATAACAAAATTACACACCAAGAGCATTGTCCTATCGGCCTACATATTCATCTGGGTTATGGCCATATCAAAGAAACAATTTTCATTACATTGTTTGCTCAATTTCATAAGGTGTTTCTATATATCATAATTGAGCTGCAACAAACGATAAAAACAGACACCAGTAATTACAACAAAAAAAGTCTTACACAACAGGGTACACTTTTACCTGAAATAGTTTATTCCATTTTTCCAAATGACAAGGTAGAGAGAATTAACATGTTACAAAATCTTACAAAGTACCTAAAAATCCAATAGCCATAATTTCATATACATATATCTACAAAATACAGTAATAATCATTATTTTTTTACTGTCGCACAATCAGATGATATCAATAACCTATGGGAATTAATAACATTAACAAAATATATATACATGTAACCTCAAATAATTTCGATGTAGAGAAGTGAATTGTGATTGAACTACAAAGCTAATCTTGTTCTCTGGTATAAAAGTGCCATGGGCATCATATTTTGAATTGTTTATCCTGCAGTAGATTGATTGTTTGAACCAGTCACAAAAACAGCCTCACAAAACTTGCTGGAAATCATCTTCAATCAATTCCACAACTCTAATTATTTGCACAAAGTGAGCTGTGTTAAGCACATGGTGTCGGGCCTACTTGACTAATTTCCTTTACTTTCTATGCTCATTACGCAGCCCCTATACATATTCTACCAAAATCGTTTGGCACATGTCATTTATTTGTAATCTTGAACGTTCAGTGTAAGTTTTGTAGGATTCTGTCAGAATTTATTTTCTATCATTACCAGAACTCAAGTTTATCTTTATATGTGTCAATGACACAAATATATTCATGCTTGTACACAATCTACTCATGAAATAACTTAGGAATATAGAAATATTATAATAACTAAAAATGCAACATTATGTAACTGAAAACTCAACTTTATCATATAAATCAATTGAGATACATCTAATATCGTCTAGTGGAAGCCAGAAGCTAGGCGTTCACACACAGAGGAAACGTCCTTCTAGCTCACAGCAGACCATGTAAACATACCTTATGCTCAGCTGATCAACATTTGGAGTTACAAAATTATTCAAGACTTTTCATCCTTCACGCTAGCAATGTAAACGATGATGAATATTACACAAGAAAAATATCTGTGTTTATTTCAGCTTTTTCGACTAAGCAAAGGAGAAATAAATGTTTGATTGAAAATAATCCCTGATCAAGGAATCAGTGAATTGCCTATTTTACAAGAAATATGATAAAAAGTATAGTTCCAAACATATTGAACCAATATTCATATAGATAACATTTCTTTCACATTATTAGATTTATACACAATTTGAATTGGGTAATATGTGATCTACTAAAATATGAATCTACAAAGGAGAATAGACCACTATGGCACTAACTAACAAGTAAACAAATAAGTCTCAAATTAACATAATAGGCCATTTTCGTAATGTAACCAAATTTAATGCATAAGTCTTTCTGAAGTGCATCAATACAAATTATTTCATTCACCTGGTAAGAATAATAGTATTTCAATAGACAGAATCCAAGATGCACACATTAGTTGTTGCCAGGTTGGACAAACATTATGGCTTGACCTACCTAGCAACACTTAATAATATATGCAGTTGCATTCTGACTATTGAAATACTATTATTCTTATCAGGTGAATGAAATAATTTGTATTGAGGCACTTCACCAAGACTTGTGCATTAAATTTGGTTACATTACGAAAATGGTCTATTGCAATTCCTTTCGCAAAATCAACTCAAGGGCAACTTCAGTACCCTATTGAATATCCCATAGAAATTATGTTTGGAATACGCAATGCGCCATTGTCATGTTCGCACATTTCAACAGGTCGATCAGATGCAAGGCTATTGAATTGCCCAAGGTCTATTTTAATATAGTAGTTGCAAGAAGAAGGAAAACAATGCAAATCAGAGATGGAATGGAAAAGAAGCAGTCATAACCATTGATAGCGTACCTTAACATATTCTCAGTATAGAGCATTGTAAACTGACATGTGAGTGGTGCCCTTTACATTACTGTATCTA